GCCTGGCCTGCTGTGTTCTTCCGGCTCCACACTCTGTTATCTCTATATATAAGCAAAATCCAAAGGTGTTTTATATGTATACAAGGAGCAAGAGGATAGCTAGGGAAAGGGTAAACCCAGCCAAGGACAAAGGAGAGAATTTATGTGAAGAGCTGGAGGGAGCGGGTGAGGTCCTTAATGAATATTTTTATCGGTATTCACAAGGGAGAAGGACATGGTGGATGGGGAGTCTCTAGATGGGTATGTTGATATTCTGAGGCATGTCAATATAGAAAAAAAGAGAAAGTGTTGGGTGTTTTGAAAAGCATTAAAGTAGACATGTTCCCAGGACCTGATGGGATCTATCACAAAATGCTGAGGGAAGCAGGTAAGGAAATTTTTTGGGCCTTCTCTGAAATCTTGGTATCCTCTTTAGTCACAAAAGAGGCCTCAGAAGATTGGAGAATAGCCGACGTTTTTCCTCTGTTTAAGAAGGACAACAGGTATAATCTAGGAAATTACAGGCCAGCGAGCCTTGTGTCAGTGGTAGAGAAATTATTGGGGATTGTTAGGGATAGGATTTACTCAAATTCGGTTGAAATATTGACTTATTAGCAATAGGCAGCATGCGTTTTGAAGGGGAGGTTGGATCTCACAAATGTGATTGACTTTTTTGAGTAAGTGACAAAGATGATTGATGAAGGCATGGCAGTAGATGTTGTCTCTATGGACATTAGCAAGGCCTTTGATAAGTACCCAAATGGCGGCCTGATACAAAAGATGAAGCCACATGGAATCCACAGTGAACTGGCAAGATGGATACAGAACTGGCTTGATCATAGACGACAGAGAGTAATGGTGGAAGTGTGTTTTTCTAACTGGAGATCTGTGACCAGTGGTGTTCCACAGGGACCAATGCTGGGACCCCTGTTGTTTGTAATGTTCTGGCGGAGAATGTAGGTGGGCTGATTAGAAGTGAGAAGGATTGCCAGAGGATCCTTTAACCAAAGGAGTTTGAGAACCTCAGAGATGCTGGAGTCAGAGACAACAGTATGGAGCTGGAGGATCACAGCGGGTCAGGCAGCATCAGGGGAGCAGGAAAGTCTACATTTCGGATCAAGTCCATTCTTCAGAACTGGGGAGGGGGGAGGGAGCTGGGAAATAAATAAAGGGAGGTGGGGTGGGGCTGGGGAAAGGTAGTGGAATGGTGATAGGTGGATGCAGGTAGGGATTGGTCAGTGGGATGGATGGGGCGGATAGGTGGAGAAGAAGATGGATAGGTTGTGTCAGGTCAAGGAGGCGGGGATGAGAGGGAGGTTTGGATGTGGGATGAGGCCAGGGATGGAGAGATCTTAAAACTGGTGAATTCTATGTTCAGGCCATCGAGCTGTAGGCTCCCAAGGCAGAATATGAAGTGTTGCTCCTTCAGTTTGCGTGTGGCATCATTGTGCATTGGAGGATGCCCAGGATTGACATGTCACCCAGGGAGTGGGAGGGGGAGTTAAAATGGTTGGCGACTGGAAGATGGTGTTGATTATCACGTACAGAGCGCAGATGCTCCACGAAATGGTCCCCGAGTCTGTGCTTTATTTGAGAACCATTGTTTTTGGTCAAGGTCTATTTGCCCCTTGCCTCTCACATGGCAGGCTGGTTAAGAAGCTAAAAGCACATGGGATCCAGAGCAAATTAGACCCAAAATTGGTTTAATGACTGAGGACAATGGTCTAAGGTGTATTTGTGACTGATGCCTATATTCAATGGTGTAGCTAAAGTTTGGTGCTGGGTCCCTTGCTGTTTGCTGTATACATTGACGATCTAGACATGAATATGATCATGAGGTATGATCAATAAGTTCACATATGACACAAAAATTGGAGGAGAAAAAGCTTTAAGCAACAGGAAAATATAGACAGGCTGATCAGTTAGACTGAACACACTGTTGTAAAAGCTCTATGACTTGTTAATTTGGTCTCCTCCCTGTTCTTCTACTAACTCAGACCATAGTTAACAAGGTGTAGAGCTGGATGAACACAGCAGGCCAAGCAGCATCATAGGGGCAGGAAGGCTGACGTTTTGGGCCTAGACCCTTCATCAGAAATGGGGGAGGGGAAGGGGGTTCTGAAATAAATAGGGAGAGAGGGGGAGGCGGATAGAAGATGGATAGAGGAGAAGATAGGTGGAGAAGAAACAGACAGGTCAAAGAGGCAGGGGTGGAGCCAGTAGAGGTGAGTGTAGGTGGGGAGGTAGGGAGGAGATAGGTCAGTCCAGGGAGGACGGACAAGTCAAGGGGGCGGGATGAGGTTAGTAGGTAGGAGATGTGGGTGCGGCTTGAGGTGGGAGGAAGAACAGGTTAGGGAGGTGGGGACAAGCTGGGCTGGTTTAGGGATGCGGTAGGGGGAGGGGAGATTTTGAATCCCTGTTCCGTACCTACACTGGCCCTAAACCCCACCTCTTCCTCAGTTACATTGATGACTGTATCGACGCCGCCTCGTGCCCCCATGAGGAGCTCGAACAGTTCATCCACTTCACCAACACCTTCCACCCCAACCTTAAGTTCACCTGGACCATCTCTAATACCTCTCTCTCCTTCCTGGACCTCTCTGTCTCCATCTCGGGCAACCTCCTGGAAACCGATATCCATTTCAAGCCCACCAACTCCCACAGCTACCTAGAATACACCTCCTCCCACCCACCTTCCTGCAAAAATGCCATCCTCTATTCCCAATTCCTTCGCCTCCGCCGCATCTGCTCCCAGGATGAGGCATTCCACTTACGTACATCTCAGATGTCCTCGTTTTTCAAAGACCGCAACTTCTCCCCCTCAGTGGTCGAGAACGCCCTCCACCATGTCTCCCACATTTCCCGCAACTCATCCCTCACACCCCGTCCCCGCAATAAGAACCAAAACAAAATCCCCCTCGTCCTCACATACCACCCCACCAACCTCCGGATCCACCGCATCATCCTCCGACACTTCCGCCATCTGCAATCTGACACCACCACCAAAGACATCTTTCCCTCCCCACCCTTATCTGCTTTCCGGAGGGACCACTCTCGCCGTGACTCCCTTGTCTGCTCCACACGCCCCTCCAGCCCCACCACACCTGGCACTTTTCCCTGCAACCGCAGGAAGTGCTACACCTGCCCCCACACCTCCTCCCTCACCCCCATCCCAGGCCCCAAGAAGATTTTCCACATCAAGCAGATGTTCACCTTCACATCTGCTAATGTGGTATGCTGCATCCGCTGTACCCGTTGTGGCCTCCTCTACATCGGGGAAACCAAGCGGAGGCTCGGGGACCGCTTTGCAGAACACCTACGCTCGGTTCGCAATAAACAACTGCACTTCCCCGTCGCGAACCATTTCAACTCCCCCTCCCATTCCTCAGACGACATGTCCATCCTGGGCCTCCTGCAGTGCCATAACGATGCCACCCAAAGGTTGCAGGAACAGCAACTCATATTCCGCTTGGGAACCCTGCAGCCCAATGGTCTCAATGTGGATTTCACAAGTTTCAAAATCTCCCCTCCCCCACCGCATCCCAAAACCAGTCCAGCTCGTCCCTGCCTCCCTAACCTGTTCTTCCTCCCACCTCAAGCCGCACCCCCATCTCCTGCTGACTAACCTCATCCCACCCCCTTGACTTGTCCATCCTCCCTGGACTGACCTATCCCCTTCCTAACTCCTTACCTACACTCACCTTTACTGGCTCCACCCCCGCCTCTTCGACCTGTCTGTTTCCTCTCCACCTATCTTCTCCTCTACCCATCTTCTATCCGCCTCCCCCTCTCTCCCTATTTATTTCAGAACTCCCTTCCCCTCCCCCATTTCTGATGAAGGGTCTAGGCCTGAAACGTCAGCCTTTCTGCTCCTATGATGCTGCTTGGCCTGCTGTGTTCATCCAGCTCTCCACCTTGTTATCTCAGATTCTCCAGCATCTGCAGTTCCTACTATGTGATTTAGAATAGTTACAACGCAGGAGGCCATTCAGGCATATGAGTGCATGCTGGATCTCTGCAAGTGTCAACACACAGATCATCCTCTTTTCCCCAGAGCCCTGCAATTCTTTTACCCTTCACATATTTAACTAATTTCATCCTGCGTAAGCAGCTGAATGACAGTTTTTCTTTATACCAGATGAAAAAAAATATGACAAGGAAACATTCATCCCTCAATCGTTTTGGCAAAACAAGCTCCCCCTCTTGGCCACATTCACATTCTGCATTCACTGTGCAGCATGGATACTCCGAGCGTCATCTAGCGGCCAGACTCTGCAGTGCAGGAGAGGCATGCCTCCCCCTCGTGTTGGAATACGGAATCGCAGCGGCCCGGCTCCTGTAATTGCGATCTGGAAGCCTTTCCTTCCCCCCTCAGTGGCTCGAAGAGTGACAATGCAGCCCGGGTGAACGGGTTGAGCGGCTAAACGCCCATTGTAGCACCCCAACAATCGGATGACAGTTTACACCCGGAGGGTAATACAGCCGTGTGTAGCGCCACTCCCGGCAGGAGGTGTAGATCTCAGCTGGCGGGTGTGACGATCATGGAGTAAAGTCAGCAGCCTCCGGTGACAGCGCCTCTAACGGTGGGGCGGATTCATTGGAGAAGGGTTCGGAGAACCAGTTGCCCCCATGAGCGGGGAGAGGAATGGTCGGTAGGAGTAAGGTTCGCCTCTCGAGGTCAGAGGAGGCGCGTTCTCCAGCGGGAGGCCCACTGAGGCGCCACCCAGCGGCGAGGAAGACCATTGGTAATACGTCTCTATGGTGCGCCACCGAGCGGTTTGGAGGACTCTGAGTAGCCTGGGTCTCCAGCCGGGAAGCCTCCCGTTGCACCGCCCCCCAAAGTCCTGGAGGACTCTGAGATGAGAGGACTTCCGGGGGGAAAGACCCAAAGAACTGCTGAAAATCCCAAGAAAAAACAGGAATTGCTGGAAAAACTCTGCAGATCTGGCCGCTTCTATGCAGAGAAACCAAAGTTTTCGGCGTAGTGACTCTTCTTGAGAAATTCCAGAGGAGACACGCCTCATTGCAGCGCCGGGGAGAAATGTGAAGGGGCGAGACCGCCAGTCGGGAGCCTCCCAATGCAGCGCCCCCAAGCGCCGTGGAGGATTGTGAAGGGGTGGGACCGCCAGTCGGGGAAACTCCCAATGCAGCGCCCCCAAGCGCCGGGGAGGAATGTGCAGAGTCGGCTGAGGGGGAGGAGGCTGATCGTGGGGCGGGTGCGGAGGCCTCGGTCGTCGAGTTCAGTCAGTCAGCCAGCACCTGAAGCCGGGGACTGGATGAGTTGAGTGGAGGAGCAGTGCGGCCTGTTGGGGAGTCTCCCTCTCTCGTTGCAGCCCCCCGCCGAGTTTGAGCGGAGACGGGGGCGGGGGGGAAAGAAGCCGAGGCCTGTGGGCTCTCTCTGGGCCGCCATGTTCAGGCTAGTGTAGATAGGGGCCCGGGGACTGAGTGAGAGACCGACAGAGAGAGAGAGATGGCAGCGAGCTGGCACGCCGTGTTGGCCGACCAGGCCGAGCTGTTGGTGGGCCGCCTGGAGGACGGGGTGTGGGCCGGCCTCGGTCTCCTGCGGCGCGGCCTGGGCATCGATTTGGGGCTGGAGCCGTGGCTGAGACGCCAGCCCCCTGGCTCGGCCGGCCTGGCCCTCCTCGTCCTCCTGCTGCTGGTGGTGGTACCGGCCGTGCTGTGGGCCCTGGGCCGCCTCCTGGTGTCCGCCTGCAAGAAGCCGGGCCCCGCGCAGGCCCAGGCCCAGGGCCGGCTTCAGCACGGACACAGGGGCCGCAGGAGCGGCAGCGGAGGGGGAGCCCGGAACTGGGACAAGACCCCGGCCGATGTCCAGCAGCAGCGCCTGGAGGAGCAGCGGAGGAAGAACAAGAGGAAGGAGAAGCCAAAGGTGAGCAGAATAGACCCCAGCCCAATACTCCCCCCGGGGAAAGGCATCACCTTAATAACCCCCATTCTCCCAAAGTCCCAGCTCTGATAACTCTTAAAGCCGCATACCCTGCTCCCAAATCCCCAGGGACAGGTGTCATCTTAATAACCCCATTTGCCAAAGCCCCACCCCAAATACCCTGTAGAATCAAATATCCTCTGCCCCGATACCACCAGGGGACAGGTATCACCCTGAAACCACCAAGCCCCAACTCCAACACTCCTGAAACAAACTACTCCAGCATTGGGGAGCGGATGTCAGCCTAATACTCCCTGGGGACATATCACCCTCATTCACCACCTCCCAATAATCCCCCAAACCCTCACTGAATGCAGCAGACAGGCCTTACCCTAATAATCACCAGCATAGGTATTACCCAAATATTGTCTGGGGACAGGCATTACCCTATAAACACCATCCCCTGCACTCCAATAATCTCCCAAACCCCTGGAATCTAATACTCCCTGAAACCAAATTCGTCACTCCAAGTACTCTTGCCTGGGTTCAGGCATCACCCCGATTTCCCCCATACCCCAAAAGCCTAGTGCTTCCAAATCCAAATAACCTACCACTACCCTGCAGGGACTGGAGTTGTTCTGATAGCTCTGGTAACCCCCAAGACAGCCCCCTCAGTCTGCCCTGCCTGAATGCAGCACCCCCCACCCTTAAGAATCAATACACCCTGAAAGTTCCTACATCTGCTTCAATGCCGCAGTGGTCAGGCAACCACTTATTACCTCATCAGTAAGCCCCCATTTCCCCCAATCCCCTTGAAACTCAATAGATCCTGCAACCAAATATTCCAATATTTCCCCCATGTATGACCCTTTAAACCAAATACAACTTTATATCAAATTTCATTTTTCATATACTCTTAAACTGCTTAATCTCCTCCATACCCCCAAACTAAATACCTCTTCTAAACTGAATATCCTACTCTGTGCCCCTTCAACCAAATAACCCGTTCATATTTCCTTAAACTAATACCTAAAAACATCTCAACCAAGGACTATTTCTATATTCATTAAAGTAAATCCCTCAAGCTATCTATAATTTCTCTGCATATGCCTCCATGAATATCTTATAAATAACATCCGGCAGTCCCCTCATCGTAATTTTCAAATCCACTCTTAACAAGTTATAACTATTAGTCTATATACAAATCTTGTACGCCCCATTATTTATATGGGAATTGTCCATGTGTTATAAAATGTCAGCAAATAGCTGAAAAGTTTTTTTTGGGGGTGCTGGGGTTTCCTAAAATAGAATATCTTCACAATGTGCCTTGTGAGCAGCCCTAACTGAGGCTCGCCGACAAGGCGCAAGGACGGTGTGGTTATGGTGTATCCTAGAACAGTTTGTGTGATGTGGCACTCCCAGAGAGAGAGCATGTGTGTGTCGGAGAGGAAGAAATTTGTGGCCTAGCTGCAGTTGTGGGTGCACAAATGTTGTGGTTCTTCTGTGAAACTGCACATTCATAGACAAATTTACTGCAGTGATACATTAAATGGTTACTTTCACTTCAGTGTGGATTAGCTAAAGCAGTTTGTTCGAGAACAGTTAAAGTGTGTGTCTTGGCTGCAAATAGTTAGCTATAAACTTCTCTGTTGACTGAGCAAACAAAAATGTTTGCTTAATAGTTTGCTACTGAGAGTTGTTTTGTGGCACTGTTTCAATCATACACTAAAATGTTAAAAGGAAATCTGTTGAATACTGAAAACTGTTTTCTTAAGTATAAACTAGATGTTATTTCTGCAAAATGCTTTGGATATACTTTGAGTCAGTGTTGTGACCAAAATTCCTCATTTAAAATTTGGTTTCATGTGTATAAGTATCGAGATGCTCACTGTTTTCAGTCTCAGTCTTGCGACAAGACAATTTGCAACCTTGGTGTTGCCTTTCACCCTCCAGCCTCCCACGTTCTACCTTCTGTATGCTTGAGGTCATCCCAAAACTTCACTCAAATCAAATTCTGTTCATTCATTACCCCTATGATCACTGACCTACATTGGCTCTGAAATTCCTGCCTGGCAAAGCCTATTCTGATCTTTGCAGTCTTCTCAAGCTCTGAAACTCTTTGCAATCTGTACCCTTGCAATTCTGGTCTCTTGTACATTCCCTTTTTCAATTGTGCTACCTTTGTGCCTTCAGCTGCCAATGCTCAAAGCTCTGGAATTCACCTCTTAAAGTAATACATCCCTTAAACATCTTTTTGATCAACCTTTGGTTTTCTGGCCTTGTACCTCTGTCTGGTTCAGTTTCATATTTTGTTTGATTTTGCCCTGTGCAGCATCTTGGGATCTTTTGTTATGTTAGAGAACCAATCTAAATGCAAAATCATCTTCGAAAAAGTACTTTGATAATTGGGTACCTTCAAAAGCTTAAAATGGCTGTTTCTAAAAAGATGGAAAGGTAGAAAATATAGGGGACGAGGAGGGCAAGGATTGAGACAGCAGGAAACTGTCATCAACAGTAGGGTATACATAAGAGATCAGAGGCTGGGAGCAGTGGGTATGGAAAACTGGAAAATGTGCAGCGTACGGTGGAGTATGGTTGTCAATGGATTTGACTTCTGTGTAGCTGTAATGTTAGTATGTTGGTGTGTCACTTTGTTCAGCTGGGAGGTAGAGAACAGGGCTCACTATGGCACAGAAAGGACCAAGATAATTCAAACAGTAGTCTGGTCAGTGATTTCAGTGGTGAAGGAGCTACATCCCTTGTGAATAAGGGCAGTGTTGCTCAGAATAATTCTTGGTGACTGTTGAAATGTAAGATTTAAACTCTCTTTGGTCAAGCAACATCCAAATAGTGACTTAATGAGTATGTGTGAAGTGGGATTAGTCACAAGGGAATGGAATAATGTTGTGGAACCTAGGTCCTGGAACATGAATAGAAATGTGTTTTTTTTAAACAAAGCAGACAATGGAGATCTTATAAACAGTGAAAGATACGTGCTTCAGGAAGCAGTATCTGGGGTTTTCTGCTCCAGGCTTGACCCAGAGGTTTGGATAGCTTAGTCATGTTTTAAATGCACTGAGTTACTCCAATTCAGTTTCATTTTAAGAGCCGTTTAAATTGCTTTGCTCAAACATCCTAAGGTGTCCTTATTTAATAGGCAGTGATGCAAGTATGAAATCATGGGTGATACAATGACTTACTTGTGTTGAGGTAAGTTGGAAGTGAGTGAAACAGTCCAGAATAAATTGCAGAAAATGAAACACTGCATCCACAATTTGGTACATTGTAGACTTTGTTATATTGTATCTTAAATCTTAACCTGCAAAAAATGTTAGTCTTAAAATTTGCAAGATTATCAAGAATAAAAGTGAATTTCTGGTTTGCTGCTGAAACACTTCCTCTGTCTGGATTTCCCTGCTGATGTATGGGTTCAATCTGAGTGAAAGGTTGCCCTTCTTCAAATGTGGGAAGGGGGAAATCTGTAGTTCAGACTTCTGGCTGGTTTATGTTTGAAAATCTTTTAAAGATTATTGCAAATGCATACTTTATCAAGTACAATACTGTGTGCTGCTGTGTCGTAGCAGAATCTTGCTGGCAATTTTGCACCACCAAATCTGTTGCTATTCCTTCACCCTGTACCGTCTGAACAAAAGACCACTGTAACTACATGAGTGCCAGCACGCTGGGTCAGGCTGAAGAAAATGCTGATGGAAATCTTTTTCGCTGGTTTGACATAAAGCTGGAATTTTGTTTTGCAGTTTCCCTCACAGGCATGGTTTCTGCACATGGATTTCTTTTAAACTCGCGGTAACTGATTAAAAGTATGCTATCTCCACCTACAAGATGTATCATGCTGCTTGATCAGAAATAAAAATAGAAAGTCTGTCAGCATCTGTGGAGCAATATGGTGGCTCAGTGGTTAGCTCTGCTGCCTCTTGGCACCAGGGACCGAGGTTCGATTCCAGCCTCGAATAAATGTCTGTGTAGAGTTTGCACATTCGCATGGTGTTTGTGTGCTCTGGTTTTGTGCTGCAGTCCAAAGATAAACAGGTTAGGTGGATTGGCCATGCTCAATTGCCCGTAGTGTCCAGGGGTGCGCAGTGCAGATGGGTTAGCCATGGTAAAATGCCGGGTTACAGGGATAGGGTAGGGTAGGGTAGGGTAGGGTAGGGGATGGAACTGGGTGGGATGCTGTTTGGAGGCTCAGTGCAGACTTGATTGCCAATTGGCCTCTCTCCACAGTAGGGATTCTATGAGGGATTTCTGAAGAAGAGTCCAGACCCGAAACGTCAGCTTCCCTGCTCCTCTGATGCTGCTTGGCCTGCTGTGTTCATCCAGCTCTACACCTTGTTATATCAGGGATTCTATGATCCTTTGATTCTAAGAGAGAAACCGACCCATTGAAAAATAGAAAGTAAGAGCAAGAGTAGGCTATTCAGCCCATTATGGCTGGTGCTCTGTCTCAATACCATACACCCACTACTCCTTAACACCTTTAGCTGCTAGAACTGTTTCTTTCTTCAATATATTCTGTAACTTACCCTGCTCAGCCTTTTGAGGGAGAGAATTCCACAGATTTACCACCTCTGAGTGAACATGTTGTTCCTCATCTCAGTCTGAAATGGCCTATCCCTTATCCTGAGACTGAGAGCCCTTTTTCTGTGTCCTCTGGCAAGAGCAATCATCCCTGCATCTAGTCCTATTGGAATGTTATGCGATTCCCTCATTGTTCTAAACTCCAATGAATATAGATGCAGTCAACTCAATCTCTTGAGAGGAAAAATCTGCCACCCCAGGAATCAGTCTGATGAGCCTTTGTTGAACGTCCTCTTTGGAAAATTTTTAAAGTTGGCATTTTCAGACTTTGCTGTGTGGATTTGTAATAAAGAATAATACTCCAGAAATCAAAGAGGCTATTTGACCCAAGATTTTGAGTGCATGGACTACTATCATATCTAATTAAACCAGTGTGTGATGGTTTCTCACCATTTTACTTATTCTTC